CTGATGTATTTTCTTCTCAAAATCATTTAAGAAAGTGGCTCACAAAACCCTGTGAATTTATTTTGGCAGAGATGGGATGAAATATTTAGTCAGGGAATAGAAATTGCCAAAGCATAATAAAGCACTTCATTTCTCTATCACAACATAATACAACAACAATTGTACCGTGTTCCACTCCTGTTTAACGTGGTAAAGGGCAAAATAGCTGAATTGGTCAGCAAATGGGCTTTCTTCATATCTGAAGAAAATTCTAATTACTGCTATAAGCTTGCTTTTTTGCAACTGAAAGCAATTATTTCCCCACATGAATGGCTCTGTACGGCTTAGCAGGAGCTAAAATGTGTATTGCTGTTCCCTCGGTAGACTGGACACGGATCGGGCTACGTTCTCAAAATACATTATTTTCTTGCACTGCGGCAAAGGAAGGGGGGCACAGGCCATGTGAGATGGGATGTCTGTGATCAACGTGAACAGAAAGCTCTGCTTCTACTGCAGAATAGGAGTTCAGGGCATTAGAGATTGAAAATGCTGATTAACCTGTCCACGATGAAAAATGCAGCTCCTGGCTAAATAAAACTTCCTGGGAAAGCTTCCTGTCATTATGTCAGAAAGATAATCAGACAAAATGAAGCTGCAAAAGCCTCTAGATGATACAGAATATATAACTAACGAGGACTAGAAGAGGTGTCAGGAGTTTGCCAAAATCAACAAAAGAAATGGTGCGCTTCAGTGTTGTCTGCAAGACAAGCTCTACTTTGAAGGAATGCTAATTTCTTAGAACCTTTATGGCATCCAAATTTATCATTGCTTTTTTGTGACAGGGTTAGTCTGATAGAGAGCACTGTTCTCAAAGAGCAAATATAGGTTAGGACGCTTGCTTTTTTGGTCACAAAGAAAACACTGACCTACTGTCACCATCTTAAATAGGAAAAAAAAAGGGGGAGAAATTAAGGGGTTCAGCTATAATTGACAGAAACCGCTTTTGAAATCTTTTAGTTGCAAAAGAAAAAGGAAGTCTGATGTATAAGACGAAAATGATTTAAAAAGTCACAAAATAATCAGTTTAAGAAAATCTGCAATCTGTATATATATTGTTTTGAAGAAGAGGTATTCATATAAGGATGAAAATCAGAAAAATAAGCAAGAACCAGGAAGTTTGTGACTGTTGACTGATTATGTTTTAAAAAGTTGAAGAAGCTGCTAAGGTCTGTCACACATTCCCCTTCATGGTTTTTGCCCTTGGAGAAGCACCAAGGAGGGAAAGGCAGCGTTAACAGAGCACCAGAAGGTATGGCTGTACAAGGGCCACATGTGAAGTGGCTGCAGCAAGCTCCCAAAGCACCTCCTGTCTCCACAATGCTATTGAACAGTGAACCCTTGCAGCCACCTATCAGATAAGAAACTGTAAGAACACACTACACCTGAGCTTCCCCAAAGGCTGAGGAGCTCTTGGAAGCATAATACTGAAAGAGAGGGTCACAGGCTTTGTAATATATGGCAAGTACTGACTCAGTCTTACTTGGTTTGTCCCAGGCTGCACTTACATGTGCCTAAACATGATCAGTTCCAGAGAAAACACTGAGCTTTCTCTCAAGGTAGTGAACAAAAATTGCCTTGTAGAAGCCAAGGTCCACTTAGTTGTTTCTGTTCTGAAACTGCAAGCAGCATGTATTTTATTTCCTATATTTCTCCAGAGAACACCCACGAAAAATCTCATGTACTATACAGTTTTACTATGTTTGCAAACAAAGAGGATGGGCAAATAAACCTATCTTGCTTCATGCAGCACAAACAATTCATTCAAGAAAGACAGGAAATGTATCCAAATAGATCCACAGAGACTTGAAATACTCCCAAGAATAACCCTGAACAGGCCTCTGTAATCCCCTACGGTTCTGTAGGAAAAGCTTCAATTCACTCAGAAAACAGAGGCCTGAACAACACTACTGAACCTGACATACTAAAATGGCTAAAGACTGAATCCAAAACTCTGCAAAAGTCTGAATTCTGCTTTGATGTGCTGACCATAACCTTGAGGGACTTCTCTGCAGACTATCCTCTTTGTGGTGAAAGCTGTTCCTGCTCCTAAGAATACATACTGGAGATGGTTTTTGTTATAAAAGCTTATTTAAAAGGAGTTACTGCTTACAAAGCCAGTCTTTATTGCCTCCTAAGACAATGTTTAAAAAAAGCACAAGCAAAGTACGATGCATGTGCAAAGTGCTGGCACTCACCACAAATGCTGTTGCTGAGCACAACACAGGCACCACAGATAACAGAACTTGCATTAGAAGTTACTTATCTTGTGGCTCCAAAACAAAAACATTGAACACCATGCATGCAAAATATATTCCAGTTTAAACCTGATGCTTCATTTAGTTTCTCTCTTTCTCATCTGAATTTAAATTCACCAAGGAAACTAAGTAATTTTTGCTATGAAGCTACAACCACTAAGGAGGGGGAAGGGGGAAGCCTGGCTGAACAGTTTTCTTATCCATTTTGAGAGTTCTCTCCTCCAAAGATTGCAAATCAAGTTTCTTCACTGGGCTTGCATATTTATAAATGACTTCAATTCCTTCTAGTCTCATACCAAGTTGTCATACTATGTATATGCAATAAATATATATGTTTTTAAGTGTGGAAGAGCCCCGAAACAAACAACAACAAAAAAGTATCTCCAGGAGGGCTTCTTTCAGCTGGAATAAATGACTGATAGAACAGAAAATTACTAAAAATTGCAAAGGACATTTCAAGAGGAAAAGCAAAATAGGTGATCTACATCAGTTTGGGATAAGCTGGAAAGCCCTGCCAACAGGTCAGGCACCAAAGATAACACCAGAAGAGGAAAACTGTGATTAAAATTATACATTTCAAAATTTAACTGCTAACAGCAGCAACTTTTCATGCTTTAAATTCCAACTTGTCTGTCTGGGTTGGAAACAGCCTAGTGGCACAGTGTTAAAGCAGTGGGAGAATGTCAACAAGGAACAGTAACATCATCCCTGGAAATAATCCACTGTATCTCACCCCTGTGGACTGACTCAGAGCCCTACACATACTCCATGCAAATTGAGGCTTAGAGGACATGATCTCATGCTGAGGTATAAGTTGTGGGTGGGCTGCATTGGAGGATTATTTGACTTTCAGACTTCTGAACCCCCCTTTGGCATTTAATTAAAAATACCTACTCCCACTTGTGGAAGTGAGAGTGAATTCTAAGTAAGGTTATGATAAAGTCAGAGAAGAAAAAAAAAAAACTAAAACAACAAAAGCTAAAAACGATCTACAAATATACAGTCAGCATAGCCACATACTTATTGCTTTCTTCTCTATATAGATATCATAGCTCAGACATGCACCTGGAATGAGATCCAAGATTTAACACTTGTTTGGAAAACATATTTCACAGTTATGTTATACTTTATTAAGTATTTACAGACTTTTTTTTTCTTATTTAACTGACAATCTTCAGTCTTTAATTCTCACAGGTGTACCATTTATTTTTCCTGGAAATACCTCAGAAAAGCACTATTCCAAGCAGTTTCTGTCCTCACAAAGACATGGCTGTCTCTGTTGCTTCACCTGCATTTAATAGAAAGGCGAAAGATTCCATAGCTTATAAACCAGTAATGAAATGTCACAGCCAAGCACTGTAGCAAAGTCAGCCATGTAAAGAAACAAAAAGACACAAAGCAACTGTAGGGTTCAGAAACCTTGAAAAGAAGCTAGAAATAAAACTTCAAAATCATATTCTTTCCTAAGACAAATGCGGCACCTCACTGAAAAGGAACAGGAAAGAGAATACAATAGGAAAGTTCTGTATTATACACCTTAACGAAGTATACAACATAACAAGCCTTTTTAATGAAGCTAATGTCCTGTGTGTGCCACTGAGCCAATCCATTGAATAGTAAGTTTCTATATCTGGTGGTAGCCAACAATGGTGAGTAATGAGGGGAAAAAAAAAAAAGAAGAAAAAGAGCCAACTATAAGAGAAAATGAGAGTCAAAGCTTGCATATTCATTCTGGTTATATCCTCAGTTACTGGACAACTACTCTGATAAGATCATACAAAGACAGACATATGGGTAGTGCACAAATGGGCTAATTGATCTGATGGATGCCTTCCAATCTAAACATGTTTTAAGACCTTCAATGCCATTGCAAAGATGGGAACTAGGCCAATTTCTTGTATTGCTATAGTTCCAAATGGGCAACAAGTACCTCAAAGTTCTTTGAAATTTTTCTATCAGGTATAAGTAAGATGCTAATGATACACAGAAAGAAATGTAGGTAAAGATTTCAATGCTGCAATTAGAATTCATAACTCTCTAGGAAAGGATTAATACACAACTGGTCCAAGACTGCTTGAGCATAGTGATATAAACATCCCAGAGAACCTGCAAATTTGAGATGTCCCACATGGTACTATGGCTTTATTTACAAGCAGTTTATGAAAAACTGTAGATTTCAGAAGCACTGTACAGATAAGAATGACAAGTATCAGGATCCTACAAGACTAATATGAGAATAGAGCACAAATTATTGCAAGACATGTCTGTAAAGACAGTATGGTGACCTGCTAGACTGAGATAAGTAACTGATTAATGGTTTCTGAAACCTGATCTCAAATTTTGCAGTGGAAACAATGCAGGGAAGAGCTACTAGGTTTTTTTTCCAGCTGGGTAAATGTGTCAATGACATCTCCAAGGAGAGCTCAAAGTTTAACAGCAACAGGCAAAGAATGCTGTCCAAAAGCCTTGAGAGGGGACTGAAAATTTTGAAGTACTTCACTGAACTGGGTTATTGATTAGGCCTGAAATTTCCCCATATCCTTAAATGTTATTTTTCTAAAGTAGTATTTGAACAATAAGATAATTTCTGATCTTAAACAACAGAAGCTTTTGCCTCAGGGGAGACAATCTTAAAATTTTTCTGCCTAGGAAAACCATGACTTTCTTGCAGTATGTCTATCAGACCAGCTGAAACCAGGACATTACCTAAAAAGAAAAAACAACAATTTGCTGAAATTAGATAAATAAAAATCAAAACTAAGAGGTATTGAATTGTTTTACTTACATCATAAACCTGGGGACTTGTCAGACAGCGGGCTATCAGGCCACACCAGCTGGGCAGCGTTGTGGTCAATGGAGGGCCACTGTGAGTGAGAATTGGCTTTAAATAACTTCAGTAGTTAAGGAAAACACACCAATGCTCAAAAACCACTACTGAAAATAAAAAGACAATTGTACATAAATGTAGTTCTGCCTTTGAACTGTGATATGCAATACTTGGACATAAAACACCCTCCCAACATTTTCCCCTTATTGTTTCAAGGTAGGTTCTTCACTCACTAATCTTCTGCAAGGACTACTAGCTAACTTTCTTCTTACAAGTTTCAAGCAGTTGCAATGTTTCCAGCTTCCATGCTCTTAAGTAAAAAGGAGAAAGCAAAGGTGGTTTAGTGTTGAAATATCCAAGGGTGTTTCTGCTCTGAAGATGGGAGCATAGTGTCAAGGTTGCAAGCTATGGGCAGCAAATGTCCTAGGTGTGGCTTAATACAGGGAAATACAGAAATTCTGTCCATTCAATGTCCTCAAAACAATATAACCACTTATCTGCTGGTTACTGAGCCACAGAGGTGCAGCCAGAGATACTACCCTGGTAATACTCACAGACATTTCTCTAGTGTACATATATTTACCACACGGTGCCAGAAAGGCAAAGGGAAAACTGTATGAACCATGTACCACAGTGTCAAAGGAAAGTAGTGCTACCTAAATGACACTGAGGGGACATGGGTGTGGGAAAGTGTCTTTAGTCCTATTTTACAGGTCTATGCCCTGGTAAATCCACACTTTTCACATGAGTACTCCATACTGATCATATGCCTGAAAAAATATACCCAAGATTCAAAATATATGTCTCTGTTAAAAAGCAGCATATTGATCTTGACTAGCACATTAATAAATCAATTTTATTTTAAATTCAAATATATAAGTTGCAGGTATTCTAGTTAATTTCTTAGGCACAGAGATAATAAAGTCCATTTGTTAATATAACAGTTTCCCTCCCAACCATTAAGATTCTTAGGGCAAAGGGGCTGTTTTAGCAGAGCTACCCCTTCCCTTTAGCAGAGCCTGGCACATCTGTTTACTCGAGAGGAGTTATGTTTCCTCCTTTCCTCCTTCACTAGGAGTGTGGTTACACCCATTCCTGGAAAGAAACAAGCTCTTCGCCCTTGCACTAACCCAGGCTCCACGCTGCCCCTGTGCCAGACAGGCAGCAACTCAGCCGTGAAAAAACAAGCCCAGTTGAAGACATCTGCTACTTCATCAAACTTGCAGTTTTCTCCCTGTTTGACAGTTGTGGGTGAGCCCAGGGAACAGCCCACAACATTAAGTGAACTCTGCATTCCACAGGAATGAAGTTCCCACTCATCCATGCGTACAGAGCTCTGCAGGCAATAGTGAGCTCTGGAGCACACTTTTCCGTCATTGCTTACATCTTTTTCAAGTTAAGCTCTCTTGCAAAGAGTGAATTTTGAGAGAATCTGCCTTTCTACCCAGAAATCAAGTGAATGCACCAGCAAAAAAAACCCACTTAGACATGGATATAGGTGGCAATTCTAAAGATCATCCCATCTGTACAGTTTAAGCCCACCCAGCCAATGCTTATCTGAATGCCTTCTTCCAACAGAAGGAGCAGACTTTTATCTCTACATACAGTAAGACAGTTCTGCCTCTCAATGTCAGTTTCCTTGGCACAAACATCACAGAAATTTTCCTAAATATTGCTAGTCATCACTGGGAAAAAAAAAAAAAAATGCACTGTCAAGATCCTTTAAGTTTCTGTGAAACAGGTAATTAGGCTGTAATTTTCCCCAGGCACTCCCCCCACCTTTGCTGTAGCTGCTAGGGAGGGATGTTCTTTGCAAGCGTCAGCTGAGGGAAGTCAGCATTGCCAACTACTCCTTTCATTGGGCACATCCCTTTTGTAAAGGCAAGGGAAGAGGACAGCTCTGCTTCCTCCTTAAAAAGACAAAAAAGAAGCAGTCAGCCACAGCCAGATCTTTCATGCTTTTAACACGGAAGTCTCTCTGGTTTTTTGGGGTATTTTTAATAATAAAAATTGACCTTGAGGCACTTTGAGGCCAATCACTAGAAGAGTTAACTTGCAATTACAAACATTTATGGATGTTTAAAATAGCACATACACCCCCGTCTGTGCTTTGGGTCAGTACTACTGCAACCGAAAGCATTGGTCACAAACAGATTTTATCCCAAAGATGCAAGTGCTATTAGGATCCAAACATTTTTAACATACTAGCTAGGTTTGTCTGGGTGTGAAAGCCTCATGCACAAGGCATGGAAGGAAACTACTATGCTCCAACCAGCCCAGCAATCTCTCATCAATCAAAGGCCAAGACCCCAGTGGAAAGACTCACATGCAATCTACAAGAACATTAGGGCCCTATCTCTGGTTAGTGTGTATATTTAGCTGCCCCAGAAATTACTAGGAATTCAGTCCTGACATTTCTTTGGGTTTCTAGGTATAAGTGACTTGCCATGGCCACAAGATTATTTTTGCCATTTTCCGCTAAGTGACTCTAAGCTGTTGAGGAGGAGCAGCTGTGACATACTCAATGTGTCATAATTAATAACATACTATTAAGTAGATTAAAAAAAAAACCCAAACCCACAAGCATGAAATACAGGACAGCTACACAAAAGTTACTCAGAATCTTAAACAAGGTTATCTAAATAGTATAATAATAGCTTCAGAAAGGTTGTTCAGTACTATACACACTCAGAGACACTCTGCTTTAACACCCATAGTACCTTCTGGATATACTTAAGGAGATCAGCTGGATCTCATGTAGATTTTTAGTTCCAGAACTTCCTCTTTAGGAATCAACCACAGATTTTGGGACTTCATCACAAAAGCAGATGGCTCTGCAGAGCAATAAGTTGAGGCTTAGATATATACAATGAACTGGAAAACTAGTTTGTGCTATTAGCATCATTGAAAAGAAGCACAGATTAATAGAACAAATTAGAGGTCCTGAAACAGTTAATTGTCTGTCTTATTGTTTAGGAAGGTACTTCATCTCTGACTGGCTTCTGTCCGCCAGCATGTGTCACACACCCTACATTAGGGAAAGGAAAAGTCTGCTGAGCCAGTGAGTCCAGCTTCAGTTCTGTGCCTTGAGCCTGTCAAATACTTGAGAGAGTCAAACAGGAGAAAGATCAAATGCTTAAGGCTACATATGGGTACATGGAAAGGGAAAAAGTGAGCATTTCATGCCTTGTAAGTAGGCTGTGTTTTCAGAAGGATACTTATGATCAAAGCTATACCACAGCCTGAAGAGCCAAGCGCTTTCCTGCTTCGTTCTGTTCCTTCGCGCAGAATCTTGGCCATCCTAAAAGTAAGATAAAAACATATTCAATACTTCAGGCAGAAAAACACAGAACTATATACTCCAATAATTCATAATATAATGTCCTGTCAAAAAATAAAATAAAAAAAAGCCATATTACTTCAATACTTGAAACACAGAAGTACTTGAAACACAGAAGAAATCTGTTTAGAGACTTGCTAATACTGAGTTTACCTTCCCTAGAAAGACCAGAAAGAACTGTAGAGAACCAGGCTTTCTTCATTGCACTCAAGTTACCTTAACAACTCCACTACCACCAAGTTCCCTGGAGCCTAAAATCTTTTCTTGCTGTTAGTTTAGTAACAGATATAGAAATAATTTCCAAACTGATAAATAAGCCTCATTGATATTCCAAGACTGATACCTATTCATTACTTGGCTGGCTTCCTTAACTCTAGGTCTAGGTCTAACTGTATGTTTGATGGTTTTTCTTAAGCATATTGCTTCCTTGGAAGAACAAGTGAAATTACCATATCTGATAAATTCTCAGAACTCTGATGAAATTTATCACATTGAAAAGAAATGTCCTTAACAGAGAATCCATATAAAGATCACAATTGAGGGAGGTCATGCAAATCTCCGAAATGCTGGATCAACCTTCAAAGGGCCAACAGTGTTAAATGTAATCTCTTACCTAGCTGTGCTGCAAATGATCACACCAGCTGGTCTGCAGCTGCATTTGTTTTAACTTTTGTTACTGTTTAGGGTTTGAGTGCTTTGCTTTGTGTTTTTGTTTTGTTGTTTGTTGTTCAGATTGGAGGGGGGGGGGGGTGTCTGTGGCCAGAGGCCAGAGTTAAACACAGGAAAACAAATAAAACAAATGAATGCCTTGTATGAATCTTCCAAACTACTGGAAAAGGGCAAGACAGGATTACACTGCGTACTTCTGACCTGCAAAAAATCCATTATCCACCAAGAGTTAAACCAAATAAATTTTCACTCCCTCCCCTTCCCAAATGATATATTTTCTTTAACTGTGACATACTGCTAATCTTGGCTTGGTGAAAGAAAGATGATTCCAAAGGGAACTGACTAATGCACTACATTAGCAATGCAATGCACAGCTAAAGAGGGATAGTAGAAAGGGTTAGTTTTTTATGTTTACATGGGAAAAAGCAAACATAATATTTCCATGGCAGACACTGAATGAGAACAGAATACCCATGCTCTGTTCCCATTAGAGCAATTCCTCAATTACTGAGGACAAGCTCAGTCTGAACTGGCCAAAGCCATCTTTCCATGATACCAATTCCTAACCTTGAAATATATATCTATGAATATATGCAGTAATTGTGGCCTTCACTGTAAAAACTCTTTTGAAACCTGGACTTCTGGTTACTTCCAGATAGTTACAAAACAAAGTTCACCCTTTCTTGTAGCCAACTCCACCATTTCAGCATCTATTTTGTGTGCTGGACACAGGCTTTTACAAAGAACATAGAGATGCCAAGTGTAGTTTCTGAAATGAAAGATGTGCTTCCTGAGCAAGTATCTCTTACCTGTACAACATGTACCATGAAAAGAAAAAGGAAGGATTGGAAAAAAAGCCAAAAAACCCCACAACCAACTAAAAATACACCAAACAAACAACCCCCCCCCAAAAAAAAATAACAACCCAAAAATCAACAAGAAAAAACACCAGAAACAAATAAACACCACCAACAAAAAACCTACCAACCCCCCCCCAAAAAAAAAAAAAAAAAAAAACCCAAAAAACCAAACCTACCCTAAGGCAGGAGAAACCACTATGAAAAATAGCTAATCCTAAATACATTATTCTATCTCTGACCAGCCTGAACACTGGCATCATCATACAACCCTTGCTCCCTAAACATCCTCTAGATCCAAAGTTGTCTTCTTCAAGTAGGTTCCTTCATAAGCCACCAGCTGTGCTGCTAAAATATCAGTGTCAAGCAGAGCTCTGGAAGAGTGCAAACCAAGGTCTGGACAGAGGAAATTCCCAGTTAAGCCTGAGGAAGAATTTTTGAGTTGTTTTGGTTTTTTCCAGATCTTTCACTCCTCCTGTGAATCAACTCAAGTTTATAGATGAGCAAAACTTAAAATTCTGCTATGAACAACATTCTTCCAATGATCTTGTTTACCAATAGCATATTTCAGGGGAAAAAAGTCAACTCTTGGGTTGTTACTGATGCGTGGAAAGCTTCAGTAAAGATTCACAGCAGCAGTTGGCTGAATACAAATGGAAGCTTGCCCGTGCTCCTTCTGCTTCACCCAGGTGATAGGTAGTGCAGGCAGGATACAGCTGGCATGTGGTTTGGTATACAAGAGTTGAGATCAGATTAGCAAACTTAATCTTGGATTCTAAGCAAGTCCAAGGGCCAAAATTTGGTATCAGTTAAGGAGGAGGAGCTAAGAGTGTTACCTCTGAACTGAGAAGAACTATTTATGCAGTAGCATGCCAAGAGCAAGCATGTTGGGTAGGTGAGGGAAGAAGAAAGTGCATTGTTATACAGTGTATTAGTAGATTTGGGAAGGTTTGTGATGCCTTACGTGTATACAAAAATGTGACCATGACAGCGTTGCACCCAAAATCACTGAATGTTTTTCAGTGGGCATTACTTGAATATTACAAAGCAAAATCCCCTACTGTCTTACTAGCTAGGACAGAAAGGTTTTATCCATGCATACAACTTCTGCAGTTTTTTATTGTTTTAGTTATAAAATAAGATCAACCTATTATAGAAGTTATGTAATTACTTACTCCTTGTAAGACTTGAAAGCTGTCATTAGTAGGTGGAGGATCCTGATCTGGGTCAACCCCAACCCTACAGAAACATTAGGAAAACAAAGCAAGTGGTGTTACTGAGGGTTGCAAATGCTGTAAGTTTGGCAGAATGCATTTTAAAAGCACTTTAAGCACCCAGCAAAGCTGCATCAGAGAGGTTATAAGAATAGATTGAGGAAGAGCTGTCCATTAATCCCCTGCAGTTACATAGCTATAAACAAGATACTTTTTCACTCAAGAAATTGCTTTAACTCTATGTCAGCATCAACTTCTACTGCTTACCTTTGCTGCCAATTTTTTTAGAACACTGGAAAATACTATTTTGCCTTAAAAAGTGAATGGCATCCTCTTCAGTGGACAGTATCCCTCAGGTCCAGCAGGAAGAAAACAGAAACTAAGGATAAAGCCCAGCCTAAATACTTCTCCAGCAAATAACTGCCAGATAAATCTGTGAATGGCTGAAATACACTGTTTTTAACAGACACACTCCATGTTTTAACACACTATGGGAAGCAAAAAAAATATTTTATAAAGGGTCACAACATTAATTTGCTGCAAGTTTCATTCACCTAACACAACACAGCCACAGTGGACTAACACGTGGCCTGTAGTCCAGCCTCCCATCTGAGTGAGGCAGGGTTTGTGTAGCGAGGGTGTTGACACAGAATATGTTAAGAAGAAACTGTCTACTCACTTTTGCATAGTTAGAAACTGAATAGTTAGAATACTGAACCATCCTTGCACATAGGGCTCCTATCCAAGATTGGCATTTAATTCTTGTAATTATGTTCAGGTTTTTCTGGTCTGGTTTGGGGTAGACTGGATTTGTCTATTTTATATCCTATTCATGTCCTGTTCTCTGTCAGCTCTTGTAGAACCTAAGCCTCCAACCTTAAAAGTTAGGTAAGATTCTTAGTCTCAAACATGCTGTGTTTCAGTTCCACCATGTCACATAGTAAGTGTAGGAAAACACATGCAACAGCCATCTCGGACAATAAGATTTTGTTAACATTGTCACTTCTACTCCCTTAGAAGGGACTGAGCTGGTTTGGTGAAATTTCCTTGTCACTTAGACTTTTTGTAAGTTTGCTAATCATTTTATAGCTATGGTGTTTATGCAACAGCCCTAAGAATCACCAGAAGCCAAGAGAACCTTGCTGGTCAGGCCATATAATTGGTTTGTCCCAGGGACACCATGCTTGGATCAAATAAAAGGAGAACACTTTCAAATAGCTTCCAGGGCAGCATTTTTTGATAGAACAATAGAAGAAGAAAAGTTTAAAGTCATCCTTGTAGACTCACAGCCAGCTCAAGGCCCCACATGAGTTAATGTAATTCAGAGAAAATCCAGAAGGCTGCTCTGCACCAGCCTCCTATGAAACTAGTGCTAACCCAGTCCTTTGCTTGGATTTTTTTTTTTTTTCCTAAGCCTCTTGCTCTTTCCTCATCACTTCCTTTTTCCACATATAGAATCATCTTGAACTTTAGGCACATTTAGCCTGGAAATTCCTTGGCACTCACCAGCCTTAGAATGGAAAAGCTTCACCAGTTTAAGGGAACACTGGATAGAGAGACTGAGTACTGGATTGTAACCATGCTAAAATAAAGCACCACACACAAGAGCTCTGTGAGCTGAGAGCTGAGGTGTTACTGCTTTGGCTATCACTACATAAGAACAGGTTTTGACAGGGAAACCTGGTTCTAATGCAGAAAGCTGACAAACAACATCAGGAAACTGACTTAGTACAGTAATACAAGTATATACATAAGAGTATGCATTCCTTTATAAGTACACATGAAAATAAAAAAAAAAACACTTGTGGCTTTCCAAACTGCCCATGTGGGAAGGTTCAATGTGTTATGCAAAGCAACCAGGCTCATGTTGGCTGTGTAGCTGACACTGTGAATGGGGAGTTCAAGAAGTTTGTTCCAAAAAATGAACACAGCCCACATTCTCCAAATTGTTTTTACTCCCTGGGCTACCTATTCACTTCACAGTACATAAGAAAACCAAACAATTCAGTGTCTCAACTTTTACTTGACTTACAAGGTTGTGCATTTGTTTTGAGAATTTTAACTGCCCTTAGGCAGGGGAGTGGGGCTTAATAGATGACCAAAGCAGGATAATGACACTGTTCAATGAAAAGTCATAGTATATCACAGATCAGGAATTTGGGTTCACTGTTGTGCTGAAGAGGGAAAAAAAAAAAAGTTTCTATATTAAAATGGTTCAAATTTTAGGAAAAAAAACATACTACAAATGTTCCTTTCCATATTGAAATAGTATATCCACACAGACTTGTCAATTTAAATTTTTTCAGTTATTCTACAAATTAATTTTGAATATTTGTAAATAATTATTTTCCAAAAATCACAGTTTTAAAAATAAATTCACTCTTGAAGTCTGTTCCTCAGAGATTAACAACAAATAATTGCCATTTTGAATTCTCACAACTACTTTTTGTATATTTCAAACAATATGCTTTTGTCCTCTATTCTAGCATCAATTGTATAGGAAGTGTAACTTTTTGGTAGCAAGCCTTCCTGTTTAACTTTCAAGGTTAAATACCCTTATCTCATAGCAAGCATCACTTTTTTTTGCAGGCCCAGCCCTAGAATTCTAAGGAAGTGTCACTTTAATCACCTGAAACAAAACAATACCAAAAAACAGTCAAGTCTGTCCCAACCTCCTTTACAGTGAAAAGAAGCACAGAAAACACTTAGTTACTTCATCTTTGCTTAACTTCTTCAATAGTTAAAAGTACAAGTAAGGCTGATGCACTTATGTCTTCAACGTTGATTTTCTTCTTATGCTGAACAGAAAAAAAATACATTTTATATGCTTTTATTTTAAAAGCTTCCTGTCATTTACAGGTGCTACAAAGGTCAATATCAGTTCTCATTTATTTAACCTGCTTTATAAATTAGACTGTTACTGGATGGATTTACACAGATCCCCTCCCAGAGATCAGAGGCACAGAGAGGGCCTTGCTAAAGGCTGGACCATTTTGCTCAAACCCCACACTGTGAAAACAGTGTTTGACTGAAGAGGCACCTCTGTGATGGGGACTGAGTGGCACAGCAGATGTGGCACAGCCAAGGCCAAGGCAGTACAGATGCTAGCAAGCATCTTTGTTTTCCCCTCCACTCTTTCTGAGAGCCCTTTGCAGGAGTTGTTTGGGGATTCCCCAAGGCTGTATAAATAAGTAATTCTTAAAAGGAAGATTTCAGATGAAGAATACTAGCAGTCTTTTAGCTGTAACAATGCATATATGTTTCAAAATCAGTGAAAAATCCATTTACTTCCCCCATTTTAACTTTGGTATCTGATAGACACCTTATTCCTCCAGTACAGACAATTAGTACTATGTAAAGTTCAGACACCTTTATTTCAGCCTTGAGAAGGTCATTAGAATCTGTAGACAAGAGTATGCTATAGTAAAAATTAATACAATTCAAGTGTATTTCTTCATTCCTCTCTAATGAAAAATTTTTTTTAAGGCAAAAAAAGCATTTTGTGCTTTAAGATCTCTGTAAGAACAAAGGAACTAGTTTTGAGCTCCTAATTCCCAACACCACAATACAGCATTTCTGCCATTAACTGATTCCTGGACTTCTTGGTCTCTATCCTACAGCTACAACTCCAGCATCACATGTAGGAGAGGAGCTACTCAGATTTGATCTCTGAAAACATTAAGCTAATGTGTAATTCAGTAATGCAAACACTGTGGGAGAAAGTGGTTCACACACAAAACTGAACTAAGTGGATGGAAATGAATGGTAAAAAGTCATATAGAACTACATCAAGTTCTCTGCTGCATCATTTTAAAATGGGTGGAATGATTTCTTCTGATGCTTCAGAAACTTTTCCAGTTCCAGCCCTACAATACATGGATGACAAGTTACTGAAATACCAGGCATTATTAGATTTAGCATGTGTAGTTACTATGGCAACAGCCAAGAATGACTGTAATAGATAATAGTTCTCAGATTGTCTGTACAAACTAACACATTGCATCTCTGGCAAATCTAGTGGTTTGCTGGAAACCTTAAATTGTGACAATGTACATGAAAGTTTTTCATTGCCCCATCCCACAGAACTTTCTTTACATAAATATTCTGTATGTTTTTATATACATACACATTGCCTATAGATGTCAGTTAGAGACTTATTTTAAATTCTCTCTCTAACCATTTATCTGTTCTAAAAACACCATACCAGAATCCTAGTCTTCTCTGGTTGTTATCTCTCTGTTTTCAAAAATATATCCCCAAAAAAGCTGGGATAAATCAGTTATGAAGTTCCTTCCAGCCTGAAGAGTTATACAAAATAACCTCAAGCAATGCTTAAGAGTATCTTTGTGGTTAAAGGCCATAAGATCAAATCCATGGTTTTCAGCTCTCAAGTCTTCCAAGGTCAGAGATTCAAGTTTTGCTTTATTAAATATCTATACACAGAGTGAAAGAATGTGTTTTATAGTTAATTTTTTTAGACATGATGTGTGATCCACACTCTCACAGCTCAGAATAAGTGAATAGACTCAGAGTCGAGGAACATCTATAGTACTCTCAGAAAAGAAGCAGCAGCAGCATGCCACAGTATAGAAAAAGAGCACACACTCAGTGTTACAAAGATGAAAAAAGCCAAGCACCGGGTTAATGTGGTATCAAGGAAAGCACAGTGTCACCTGAAATACAGCCAGTGGCTTTCACTCATCTCTTCCACCGATGGAACATGGTCACCAACTCTGGTACAGTACAAGAATGCAACGTGAGTAACAAAATGCTCATGAGTTGGGGGCTCTACAGACTTTTCAGCAAAACAAAGCAAACCAACAAAGAAAATCCATACCAAATCAAAAAACACAAAACATACATGAACAATAATGGCAGAGCAATGACAAAGTGACCAAAAAAACCAAAATTAGCAACACCAGCAATTTATGATTGACATATCCAGTAATATTCTTCATTCATTCAGATCCTAGCTGGAAACACATCTGCATTAATGACAGACTACACCCCCCAGAAAACCAGATT